AATTCTAGCAGTTACCTTAATTCTGAATTATGTATAGGGAGACAAACCAACACAAATAATTCAGCATCATTTACTTATTTAACAAAGCTTTCTACTAAAAACAATTAGCATTAAGGTTCTAATGCTAAAATACTAAAAATACAAGATTTCTTACTGGATTTTTATCTCAAGGAAGTGGTTCATAAAACAGAAGAGATTTAGGGGCCGGGGATTTAGCTCAGTGCTTCTGTCTCCTGCCTCGCAAGCGCAAGGTCCCAAGTTCAATCCCCAGTATCAAAAAAAAAAAGCCAGAAGAGGTTGAAATCATGCATTTCTTAGGCTTTGGGGGATTGTGAAATGAAAAGCATTACACGTTTTGTCTGTAGCATTCTATTTAGTTCTAAACCAGAGGTTCAATAAACTTAGAGAAAAAAAATGCTTAAAAAAATTATTAAGGCCAATGAGGAAAGACTGATAAAGCCAATGAGAAAGATTGATAAATGGAGTCATGCGGTCATAAAAACCACCTACATGCTACTCTCCTAGGGAGCCTTCCTATGGCAGACTGTATTGTCTAAAAATACAATATCTTTCATCTCGTATGTGATTCTTTGCATTCATCCCATTGATAAGTGTGGCCTATGCCCCCCCCCCTTTGAATCTGGGCAGACTTGTAACTAGGGTGAAAGTGTTGGTAAGTGACTTCCAAGGCCAAGTCACAAAGTAGTATTCAATGATTCTCTTGGGATAGTCTCTGTTGGAACAGCACAACCATGCTGTGATAAAGCCCACATAGGCCTGGAAAGACCCTTGTGGAAATGCACCAAGGCTGTAACCCATTAACCCAGCTGAGCTTCCAGCTGATAGGCTGAACCAACAAGTCACCTATATAAACAAGAGATCTTGAAATAGATTCTCCAGACTCCACATGACACTGTGTGGAGCAGAGACAAGCTATTCACACTCAATTATGCCCAAATTACAGATTGATAAGCCAAATAAATGACTGATGTTTTAAGCCATTGCATTTTCAGGCAGTTTGTTACACAGCAATAGTAACTAGAGTACTTCTTATACTTCAAAACCTAAAAATGTTTTCAACTATATTTCTCAGAGTCGTCTGCAACTACAATTCTAATATTGGGAACTATAAAGTCTGAAGATAGCTAATATTATTTGTAATATTATTTGTATATTATAATGTGATAGTAAACCACTTACTATATATTTGCTCATGGTTTCTGACTTGTTGGTCACCTTACAGATGCCCTTACTCAAGATTTAGAAGACTGAAATGAGCAGAGGCCATCTTTCTGTCCTCTTGGCTCCTGTTGATGAGCAAGGGTATAGAGATAATGATATTTCTGCAAGTTGCAGAATCTAGTACTGGTATTCCAGCACTAAGAACTATATCTTCGCATTCTAGCTTCCCAGTCCATGAGGACCCTCTTGTGAGTGTGAGCTCTTGGTCTTACTGCTTTGTATACCTTTCTCTTTACAATACCTAGAATGTTTTCTTCTTGTTCCAAACACTAATTAAGCAGCCTGTAACAGAAGTGTTTAGATGCTGTTGTGATCATCCACTCATTATTTTTTAAGTATCTTCTCTTTCATCCACTGCTGCTACAGCTTCCAAACACATCTTCCTCTTGTCCTTCCCTTATTCATTCTCAACATTGCAGCCAAATAAATTCTTTAGATGCATAAAGGTAATCATATCATGAATTTTTTCAATCTTTTATCACACAATGATTTCTCTAGTTGGGGCTGATTCAAATATCACAAAATGATGTCCTTTACCCACACTTGTGCTTTGGGGAAATGTCAACAAGATCTCTAAGAATTAATGAAGAGAATGTGCCTTTTTAGCACTAACAAGCAATGCTTTAAAATAAGCTGAAGCTTTCTTACCAATAAGCAAATGCTACAAGAACCTTCTCTGATTCTCACTTCTATTTTGATCACACCTTCCCACCATGGCTGCATGGCCTCTAAAAGTATCGATACTATTCTGCCAGTCACACACCTGTATGTATACACACACACACACAAACACACACACACACCCCTTCTACTATGCTAGATCCTATGATAGGTGTTGGATACACTGGTAAAAGAGACATCATCAGAACAGGGTCAAGACAGGAAAGATCCTCTTGAGAAAGGTGAAGGAAGTTCTGCAGTTGTATAATATTTTTCAGCCATGAGATGAGACTGAAAAGATACACAGAGGGGATATTTATGCAGAGCCCTGGAGAATAAGGAATGTGAGTTTCACCCTGGAAGACATGAGGAAAGGGTTTTAAGTAGGGAAGAATATAGCATATTTGTATTTTTGAGAGATTAACATGCCCAAAATAAGAGAAAGGACATACTGAGGTCTAAATGTGAAGGTGAGGAAACCAAATAAAACACCGCCACAATGGGTAACATAAAATACGGCAGCAACATGAACGAGACTAGCTGTACATGGGTAAAAGACACGGATAAAATCAAGGAATCTGATGAAGAAGAATGAGTCCTAATTCGTTTAATGTGGGAGTGAAAGAAGGGGAAAAATCAAGGAGTATTAAATATGAGTAGGTAGTGTTTGCCATTTCCTGAAATGGATAATCAGGTAGAGGAACTGGTTGATGAGTAAATTTCTAGAGTGAACCCATTAAAAAATACTAATTTATACTGTAAACTCTTAAATCTACATTGACTTTAAGAAGTCTGGGAAACCCAAAAAGGGATATGAAGCTCCGGTGAGAGAGTTTGGGATTCATTAGGGACATAAGATGATATTCAGAGCCCTGGGTAGAATGCATGTAAGGTAGGGGAAGTATATGTAGAGAAAGAAAGTATAAGCCAGGAAATAAATCTGAAGAACATCAACATTTAACACTGGGGCAGTTGAATAACAAGCTGCAGAGAACCGTTATCTCCACTGACATGTTACATATTGAAGCATTTGCCTATTTTAGCCAATGTTAGACATCAAATCTCACAGTTCATAAACCAAATAGTAGTACTGTGTCAGCCAAATATTATTTTAACATAACTAGGATTTTAACATAAGTAGGTTAAATATTATTTTAACGTAACATAACTATTTTAACATAACTAGGACAGTTCATGGCCCCTGCGAGTTGCCATTCCCCCATCTTCTCTTGATCATCCCCTTGTTTTACAGCACCTATTCCAGGTTCTTTCCTCTAATATCTCCCATCTGTCTTCTACTTCTTTTTGAGGATTTCTTTCAATCTAAAGACAATAACCTCTTTTTATCAGTAGTTTACTAGCCCAAAAGCATGCTCTTCTTCTTTATTGGGGCTGTTGGGCTTGTTTATCCTATGCCAGCATCAGAAAGAACCATGCTGAGAAGAAATGAACTCAAGATTATTGGAGCCAAATACAATGTACCTAGGTAGTCATGCCTGGCAACATCCGAGAATAATCTTCAGTTTATCGAAACTGAGAGTGGTATCACAGAAGTCTCATGGGTCTCTTTGGCTGGAAGTGGAATGCCCGGGGTTTACAAATTTGTTACCCAGTCAGGTGGTGCACATTATCAATCAACATAAAACAGGAAGGCACTATTATACTACACCAACAACTTAAACTGGAGGGTTGTGACCTCTTAACCTAACAATTTATGACTCTTTTTGTAATTCTTGCTAGTTTTGTAATTCTTGCTAGGTAGCAAAATTAAGAATGATTGTTAAAACAAAACTGAATAGAGGGAGTGACTGGATTCGCTATCCATGACTGGTACATATTGCTCCAGAACAGCCAGGTTTTCTCACCTGATCCTTTCCATGAAACTCGGGTCTTCTAGATAAGGTTACCCTCCAAACAGTCAACAAATAAATGTAACTCGTTTAAAAATCGAATACTGTACAACATAAAGGGTAATACTTTGCATAACTAAATTGTGCACAGCATCTAAGAAGAAAGATTCTATCAGGAATTGAAGATTTCTATATTTATCATGATAACTTTCCATCGGGAGGTAGTAAATTGTTTTGCTATAATAAATTATATATTTGGGGGTAATATTTAAAGAAAAGTGTGTTGAGCAAGGAATCTTTAACTCTCAAAAAAGTTCTAATTACGCCCTAAATAAGTAACCCATCCTAAGAGGCAGATTGTAAATCAACGAGGTCCCAAATTGTATCAAATATTTTGGGTGTTTCCACATCTTAGGCAAGTCATTTAGCTTTGTGAGGCATATTTTTCTCTTCTGTAACCAAAGGATGGTCTTTTCACCTCTACATCCACTTTAAGATTGTCATTATGGAGCTGAAACGTCTATAGCTTGTTTGAGCAGCATGGATCTTTGATACGTCTTTCAAAGGTATCCAAAAGATTGGGAAAAAACCTAAAGCTAAAATCTCATTAGCTTTAACTAAATTTCAAATGTTATTGCCAAAGAGGAAATAACATTAATGTTTCTGAGCATCTACTAGGTATCAGGAATTTTTCTTATATTATCATATTAACCTTTATAACCATCTTATAAGTTACTGTTATTCTTGTTTTATGGAGAAAGAAACAGCTACTGTGTTGTACAACCAATCTCACTATATCTAGTGTGGAAACCTGGACAACACAGACACTTTACTTGTATTTTCTGGAAGAGGCCAAAAGAGGTAGAAAAGATCTGGAAGCTACGAACATTAAGTCTACCAGAATAGTTAGACTGGGGGTCTATACTTTGTCTTGAAAGCCAAGTTTACCCATGTTGTGTTTTTGCAAATAAACTTGTATTAGAACACAGCCATGGTCATTCATTTACACATTGTCTATGGCTGCTTCCACATCACAAATGTAGAAATGAACAGTTGTGACAACCCTTGAACTGCAAAACCTAAAATATTTATTATCTGGTCCTTTACAGAAAAAAAAATGCTGAACCATGGTAGACCCTTAGGCTTATAACTCTAACCCACTCACTCACTTATCCCTATGCTGTACCACCGCCACCTTTATTTCTGAAATTTCTGCAGGAAAAATTTTTATCGAGAGCCAGTGCAGCGTTTGATTTTATCTAGTTTTATTTAAGTTTACTGACATTTCCTTCTCTATCACCACCACCAACACTGACATTAGATCAACACATCAGACACACACGATTAATCACTTATTGTTACAAAACAGCCCAAAGCCATTAATTAGTTACACCAACAGCTCAACAGGTTTCCCTATCCCCAAGAGTCTAGTTCCCCGTTCCCACTCCATCTGGGTACTCTCATAAACTGGGGGCGGCTTCCAAATTGGGGGTGGAATCAATAGGACAAAATTTTATCTTCTAAATGATTGTGTTATGGTTGCAAACAATAATAGAACTGTTTTTGTTTTAAAAAGGGTTATTGATCTCCATATATTATTTGTGACAGGTAAGACCAAGGCCTTAATCAGTTTTGATTCTTTTCAAAGAGCACAGATGATGTTTTCTCAATTGCCGTGCACCCCGTGTATAAAACCTGCCTATCTCAAAGACAGAATCAGTTTCATACATAACAATACAAGGATAGTTTGTGAAGGTCAGACAGGTGATTGATTTACATCTTTAAAAGCAAGAGTATTTCCCACAAGGAAGCAAACAACAAATTCCCATTAAAGTTCAGTCTTTTTATAACAAATTGAGATATGATTCACATATTTTACAGTTCACACTTTCAAAGTATTGTTCTGGCATTTCAGTAGTGAAATCATACAATATGTGGTCTTTTGAGTCTGGCTCCTTTCACTCAGCATGTTTATAATGTTCGTCTATGTTATAGCATGCATCAGTACTTTATTTCTTAATGCTGAATAATATTCCATTGTACAGATATAACATATTTTGCTTATTCCTTTATTAGTTGATAGTCACTTGGGTTACATCAATTTTTGGCTGTTTTAAATAATGGTACTATAAACATTTGTGTACAAGTTTCTGTGTAGACATGCTATCATTGATCTTGGTTATGCACCAGCAGCATTTGAAAATTTCAATGTTTTTGCATTCTCATTAGCACTTGTTATTATCTTTTATTATAGCCATTCTGCTGAGTATAAGGTGTATCTCATTGTAGTTTGATTTGTATTTCCTGATGGCTGATGATATTAAGAATCTTTTCGTGTTCCTATTGACTTTTTGTATATCTTTGGAGAACTGTTAATTCAAATATTTTTGTCCATTTTTAAATTGGGTTATGTGTCTTTTTATTATTGAATTTTAACAGTTCTTTGTATATTCTAGATACATGTTCCTCCCTGACCTGATACATGATTTACAAAATGTTCTCTCATTCTGAGTTGTCTTTTTGTTTTCTTGATAGTGAAATAATTTTTAATTTTCATTATGTCCAATTAATTCTTTCATTTGCTGCTTTTGTTTTTATTACCCTTTATTTAAGAAATCATTGCATAATACAAGGTCATGAAGGTTTATGCTAATATTTTCTTCTAAGATTTTTACAGTGTTAGGCAAATGTAAGATTTAGGTATTAAGTCCATTTTTTATATTTATTATATTTGTATGTTAATTTTTATATTTGTATGAGGTAAGGGTTCAATGTAATTATTTGTATGTAGATATTCATGTTTCCAAACACCATTTAATGAAAAAGATTATTTCCCCCCATTGAATTTTCTTAGCACCTTTTTTAGAAAAGCAGTTAACCATAAATGTGAGTATTATCTCTGGACTCTCAATTATATTATTATTTTATCCTTTTTAAAGCTATTGAAATTATTTTCTCAATATCATTTTTAGTTCATGCATTGACACTTTACAGAAAGACAATAAAACTCTGTATGTCACTTTTGTGTTCTGTGACTTTGCTGAGTTTCTTTATTAATTTTAATGTTTTGTTTTGAGTATGCCTTTGGATTTTCCATAGATTGCCTTTAGACTTTCATATCTGAGATCATATTATCTGTAAGCAAGATTTTATTTTTTCTTTTCCAATCCAGAGGAATTTTATTTTCTTGCCTTACTACCCTAGCTCAACCCTCTAGTACAGGTTGAACAGCAGTAACAAGAACAGACATCCTTGTCTTGTTTCTGATGTTAGGAGATATTAATTCAGTCTTTTGCCATTAAATGATACATCTGTGGGTTTTTCATAGACATCTTTTATCAGGTTGAGGAAGCTCCCTTCTGTTCTCACTTTGTTGGGTATTTTTATCATGAAAGGAAGTTGGATTTTATTAAATCCTTTTTCTGCACCTTATCAAGGGCTCATGTGGATTGTGATTTTATCTCATTTCTTCCCTTTGCCAAATACTTAAGAGAAATTTTCTACAAAGTAATTTACTAAATACCCATAACTTTTAAAAAGGTATAAAATAGCATTTTTATAAAAGTTTGTAGATATGTAATCTAAAGGTATGAAAAATTAATATGAAAGCTATTAAAATATAACTATATGAGGTATTTTTTTCTGACCAAAACATTAATAATCCATTTGCTAACTACAAGAAAATATATTCTTATAAGAAAAGTGATACAATAAATTAATAAATGGTATAATAACTATCACTTCTACAAACATATGGAAAAATACATGATAGAACTATTATTAAAGTTCTCTGTTAATGACTGGCATCTCTTATTACAAATGTTTTCATTTTAAAATAGAAATTTATATTTCTAAAACACTATTGTGCTGACTTAATCAAAATATGTCATGGTTTTTTGTTTTGGGGGAGCTGTTTTGGTACCTGGGATCAAACTCAGAATCTTGCGCTTTAAGGCAGGCGCTGGAACCACTGAGCTAAATCCCCGGCTGCCCAAATATGTCATGTTTTATACTTTATAAAATGGCATAGTAACAAGCTTGTTTGTCACACAAATGTTGAGAATTCTGTTGCCTGGAAAGATAAGACAAAAAATCTAACTCCCAGTTATAATTTGATTGTGCTCTGTGTAGTATATAAAATGCCTTCTGCTTTAATCCGCTCCAATATTGGCCCATAGATCTCTTTGGAAAAGGGGCCCATCAGACCTTTGGCTTCAATTTCACCTGGAAGAAAATAGATGTGTGATTATCAATTTGAATGTGGTACTAAAGGTTCATTTTCCTACCAAGAATCTCTACAGAGAAAGGATCGCCCCAGCAGCAAACTCGGAGGCAACAAATTGTGGGAAGACTGGGCATTATTTAAATAGCTGTTACATGTCCTCTACTAAATAATAACTTAGTGCTCTATAAGAGAAAGGGTTAGATTGGGCTTAAAAGCACAGCTGAACTTAAGGACAGTGACGAAATTTGCCCCTTTAACAGCATCAATTCCTACCAGAAGGAATTGAATCCAATCTGATTATTTGGGCACAAGACCTGTTAGGATGGTTTAAGTTAGGTCTAAGACACTTTCTGTAAGGGGTATGCTGACTCTTTCTTCACTTTGATTCCAAAAAAGTTCAGTAGGTAGTTTAATTTCACATTACCTAATATGCTATTATAAATATTTTTCTCCTTATTTCATGTACATGCTGTGATTTTTTTCACTCCCTTCATTCACAAGGGCCAAGTGAGGTATTATTTTCATAGATAATGCTTACTGGATGTATATGTATATCCAGACGTCATCATTAAGTTAATGGTTTGACATTATTTTTTCAATAGTATGAAAGCAATATTCTCTCTATAAATTGCACTTGGAGTTTTGATCCTTTCCCAGGCTATTAACATGCCAGATGATACTCTCTCACAATGCTGGGCAGCAGCATTGGTGAGCCATAGCTCCCACTCGGCAATGAGATCATGAGAGGAAACAACCTACAGTCTACATCAGTTGTGTCCAACCTGTGGGCTGCAGGCAGCCCTGGACAGCTAGGAAAGAAGCCTCACAGAAGTCAACTTCACCCTATTTTGTGATTTTTTTTTAGCCCTATTTTTCATGACTCAACTGCAAGATGCCAGAGCAGAACTCTATAAGCAGCAAGGAAATGCTGTTTAGGGGAGGGCATAGTATAATGCTAACTCTGCCTCACACTCCTGCAACATACACTCAGTCCGGTTGAAACCCAGATTGTCAGACCTTCCGTGGACTTGTGTGACCATGGTGACTAAAACACAGCAATTACTGATTATAGTATTTCAACCTACCTACATGTGTGTGCCTCTGAAGACAAGCTTTTATTGTTTTAAGCAAACATGTAAGTTTTCTTATTTAATTACTAAATTTGGGCTTTGGTTTAAAAAATTTTAATTAAAATATTTAAAAAATAAATGAGGTTTTGTACTCATATACCTTAACTATATTATATATTTTATATGCGGCCAAGACAATTTCTCTTCACTCAGTGAGGCCCAGGCAAGCCAAATATTTGGATATCATGATATATAAGCTACTGTGTTGCTAAGTTATGAGGTTCAGTGGGTTAGATGTATTCAATGCATTTAACTTAAGATAATTTTAAAGTACCATAAACTTATTGTGATATAACCCCATTGTATGTTGAGGAGTATTTGTAATCCGAAATATTTATTTACTGATAATATGCTGAGATATGAAATTAACAAGACATGGCCCATATTGTTAAAGATCTATAAGTAAATATTTTCTGCTATTTCAGAGCTTCTCCCCCCAAAATAACAAAAACCAAGGCAGAAAAGAATGGAGTTAACTATTCTATCTGGAAACATGGCAGCTTCACATGCTAATTCACAGAAGTGTCACGATGTCATTAGGAGTTAGAGGTGACAATATCCACTTTCAAGATGAGGAAACTGGATCAGAGGTGCTGAGTGACTTGCATCTCATCACCATTCAGCTCTCTTGTGTCCGAGCTGGGTGGAAATTAGGTCTAACTCTGTTCAATTCATGGCTATCCCCGGGCCAGGTATCTTCAAAGATGGCTCACTTTTAATCAATGTCAGTGTTAAGGTTAAAACTCATTATTTGATGTCCAGGAATCAAATGACCTCAAGCATAGTCATGGAGACAGACTCAGGCCTCAGGTGAACAGAACTTACCATCAAGCAACATTTTGGCTGCCATGGCTGTAGGTAACCCCACAGTTTTAGCCATTGCTGAAAAGCCATCGAAGTCTCCATAAACCACAAGATCAACAGTTTTACTCTCTAAATGTCCAGAAGGATGCCTGATACCAAAACTGTCTCTCATCACAATCATATCTTTTTCTTCAGGGCCTTAAAATAAAACAAGACATTTTAAAATGGCACTATCATTATAATTCAAATATTGCATTTCATCTCCTGTCCCTGTCCCTCTGCTCTCACAAATTTCCCTTCCTATTATAAGGGAAATTCCCATTATAGTGGTCACTAGACAGCTATCTACACTGTTTTTAAGGTCAAATGCCAAGTGAAAAAAATTAAGGGGTTAAAAGTTTGATCATATCTCTTTGTATAGGGCAGTATCAGTGTAGTCTGACTACAGTTATAAGTTCACAGCTGTAGGGATCACACAGTTGCTCCCAGAAATGTTCCTTTGGCATTTCTCTAATAAACTGAAAGCAAAGTTTTTTTTTTCTTTTCTATAATACCCAAATTCATTCCCCAACCCCCACTTCCACCTCCAGTACTGGAAATTGAACCCAAGGTCTTCTGCATACTAGGCAAGCATTCTAGCACTGTGTAACATGTCCTGCCTTTTTAAATTTTATTTTGAGAGAGTCTTGCTAAGTTGCCCAAGCTGGTTTTGAATTTTTAATCCTCCTGCTTCAGCCTCCTGAAGAGCTAGGGTTACAGGTGTGCACCACCTCACTTGGCCCCAAGTTCATTCTTTCCTAGTAAGTCTCATAGTTTTCCGGCTGGGTCCAGCTGCTTGGTTCCAGCCCTTCAATCTAATGCTCTGGTTGTAATGACTCTATCTTATGACTCTTTTTCAGGGATATTTTGCTAAGACCCCATAGCCTACCATAGGAGAGTTTCAAAGCCAAATGCTTAGATAGAGCACCCACAATGGACTCCGCCTGTGGAACTTGTTCATCTCCAAGCAAGCCCAACCTGAAAAAGCACAAGAGGCAGCTGCATTAGTCAAGTCGTGCATGTGTTCTCATTAGAGAAGCAGCAAAGGGTCCACGGAATTTTTTTTTAATTTTAATTTTTATTTTTATTAGTACATGTTTGCTTTTATTAGTACATTCATTTTGGTAAACTGAGATTCCATCTTACTCCAGAAAGAAAAGCTATCATCAAGAAATCAAATAACAACAAATGCTAGAGAGGCCTCCAGGAAAAAGGAACTCTTCTACATTATTGGTGGGAATATAAATTAGTATAGCCACTATGAAAATCAGTACAGATATTCATCAGAAAACAAAAACTAGAAATCCCATTTGACCCAGCTATTCCCTTTCTAAGTATCTTTCCCAAAGAGTTAGGGATATCATTTTATAGTGATACATGCATACCCATGTTTATAGCAGCACAACTTAATAATAGCTAAATCTTGGAAGTATTCTACATGTCCATCAATAGATGAATCAATAAAGAAAATGTGGTATTTATAAATATTCGAGTAATATTCTTCCCTAAAGAAGGATAAATTTGAGTCATGTGTAGGAAAATGGATGCATCTTGAGCCTATACTGTTGAGTGAAATAAATCAGAAACACAAGCTTAAATATCACACATCTTCTCTTATATGAGAACCTCAAAGGATAAATAAATTAAAGAGTAAAATAAAAGACAGATAACAGGAAACAAGCTGGGGAGAAGGAAGGGAGGAGAAGGAAAGGAATTACAAAAGGAATTAAGATATAGAAAATTCGGTATTGAAAGGGCAAGTATCATAAGATAACTGTCCAAGTTCTCAGAATATACTAAATTGTGAACTAACACAAAGAGCAATGTTTTTACCTGTAGAATCGACCCTAAATTCCCCCAGCATGGCTCCTTGAGGCCAAGCAGATGGGATGCCTTGTAAACCCACATTCTTACAAACCTTTAGAAGATCAATTTATAAATTAGCTGCACAGCAGTCACGTGAATTAATGCTCTAAAGAAATTAAGAGAATACTCAGAATCTCCTACAGGAAAATAGAAACATTCTACTTTGTTCAGAAACTGAGTGGAGAAATGCTTGAAAATGGTGTTTTCCAGGTTATACATGTCATTGAGTTCCTCCCTTTATCTACTTTTTAATCCTACATAAATATGGTACATGTCAATCTCGCTATAGCAGGTCAACTTTAGAGCAGCTAATTAACCAAAGAGATATAAAATGTTCCATTGTATTTTGACCTTCCTTTGACTAGAAAGGACAAAGTAATCATTGATCCAATAAACTTTAGATTGGATGATGCATGCCTACCCTTCAGCAACTTCCAGCTGGGTACTGTCCCCTCTCAGTTTCTTAAGAACAGCTTCTTTAAGCATACCACAAGTGGAGGAGCGTGAAATCCCAACTAGATCACACAGCAGTTGCTTCTGGTTAGGAAAATAAAGACAAAGATTCTAAATTCCTAATAAAATAAGAAATACATTAGCTGAGAATTCATCCTGTTAAGATACTGTACTTAAATGCACCTCAAATTATTAAATTAAAAACAATTCAGAAGAGCAAATTGTAACACATGCACATGCATACACGTACGTGCACATTTACACACCAACACATGCATGGCATTCCAGAATGATATTTCAGCAATAAAAAAACTCTAAACAGAGAAAATCCCAGCATATTTCTTGCCTTCACATTTCCTCTCCATCACTTTTTCACCCATTCCCCCTCATTCTCCAGCAGTCAATTTGGGCAAGGCTAAAGTGGAAGGGGCTTACTGCCATTGTTGCCAGTAGTAACCAGAGTTCTGCTGTAGGTTTAAGAGATAGGAAAGACTTTGCTGGTAATAAAATCTCAGAGAAACACTAAACAATGGCCACAGCTTTTTCTGCTTTCTAAACAAGACTTTTTTTTCCCATGTTCCCAAAGGGAAAACTATGCTCTAGATCAGGGGTCAACAAATTGGCTCACAGGCCAAATATGGATCACCATTTGTTTTTTAAATAAAAGTTCTATTGCGATACAGCCATGCTAACTTGTTTATGTATTGTCTACAGCAGGACAGAGCAGTTCTACAAGATGGCATGACTCATAAAGTCTAAAATATTTACAATATTATCCTTTATTTTTTTTAAAAAAAGCATTTGCAAACTCCTATTCTGCACTATAACAATCAATGTCCTAGGGTTACCACTAAGAACACCTGCACCAACTTTTCCTACCTGCTCCCTCAACCCCAGATTCTCTATACAGACGTTGTACTCACTCCTGTCCAACAAGTAAATTTATGTTAGGTAAAACAAACCATCAAGGCTCACAGACACACAAAAAAACTGAATTTAAAATATTGGTCCTTTTCTCCTTATGATACTTTTTTAAAATTTCTATTGAAATAGTAGCATACTGATAACAATTTAACTCCTGACAGTAAAAGCTCTCCTTTATATTCAGTTTCAAGCCTCCAAAGTTCTTCAACCTCAAACCCTAAGATTTGGGAATAACACAGATAAAGCAATATTTATAAATTGGAACTCAAATTATTTATCCTTGTGCATATGCATAGTCAATGAGAGAATTAGTGGGATTAGGAATTCAGTTCTGTGATATATCAGCGTCTCTCCTGGATTATCATCTTCAGAGTGTCCAAGTAACTCCTGTCACCACTTACACAATTTGAAAATGCCAGAGCCAAGGTACAGAGCATGGTCATCTTTCCTCAAGGCTCAGGAAGAAACCAAGCAGGACAAGTTAGTGCAGGAAATAGGCCTGGTGTGTCAGTCCCTTGCCCTCTCCATCCTCCAGTAGCAGGGAAGGGAAAGGAGACTTTCAGGTTAGAATTAACTTCCTGTATTCACTACAGAAGGGATTAGTTAGCTAGCCCAAAGCAGAGATCACATCTGACCATTTAAGAAGACATTCTGAAAACCAGCAAAGTAATTTTACAGTCACTCACCCAGGTAAGAGAGCTGGCTTCAGATCGGAGGGTGGGATATGCTTCTCTGCTTATGAGACCCAATTTTACAAATCCATTCAAAGCTTTGGAATAACCCTGAATCAAGAATTAAAAAGAAGTATATGAAACATTTTCCTTAAAGAACAGATTTTAAGCTTTTTTGAAGCATGACCTGTTGTGATAACTAATTTAGAAAACCAGCTGAACATAGTCATTTGTATTATTGATATAGATACAATTTCTCAAAACAAGGTCAATAGTGTCATAAAAATTCCACTGGTTTGTATAAATGAAGAGATCTAGAAAAACTTGGGTCTTTACTTTTGTTTCTGAGTACTGCGTAATTGGTATTTTCTGGCAGCCTGAGGGCAAATGTCTTCATGAGCTGTATACTATCAATTCAGCAGAATGTTATTTAATAGAACAGTCAGCTTTGCTCTTTCTTATAATGGAAGGAGAAATTTTTGAAGCTGATAATCCCTTCTTATTAATTGCCACTACCCTATACAAGGTTTATAAGGGAGCAGAAAAACAGGTAAGAATCAGAGATATTTCTAAAATGTAGATATGATCACATGACCACTCAGATAAAAATTCTTGTGGTAAATACCTAAATGTGCAAAGAAAATGTGATGAACTTATATGTTTATACAGAATAAAAAGGACTTAGACACAGAGAAATAAAACAAACCACTGGCCAGGCTCTGCATGTCAATACTATAGAAATATCTCTAATCATACAGGATTTTTTCAGTTATCCCATTTCACACATGAGCACCACCCCCAGGGCCCACAATTCCTGGCACCTACTTCAGGCAGTGAAGGGGACAGGGAGCACCCCAGATGAGGAAGTGCTAATATACGTATAGAGAGCTGCACTGAAAAGAGGGCCTGGAGCAGGCCCATATGAGTGATGTACATATTTGGGAGTAAAGTTCCAGGCAAAGGCTACAGCCACTTAAAGATAAGAGACAGCAAGGCGAGGAAGAAGTGAAGGGTCACCACTGGCAGGCCTCCAGATCCTACATCTTCCAGAAAACACATAGTATGTGGATACTGGGTAACACACATAAGACAAATTGCCTCTGTGCCACTAGCCAGGAATCATCATACCCACAGATCAGAAATCAGACCTCTGATTGTTAGCGATACATGTATTTTAGGTAATATATCATTGTAATGGGTCCAATAGTGTCCTCCGTGCAAATTCATGGCAACCCCAAGTCTAAGACTATGACCTTATTTGGATACTTTGAGATAGGTAAGAACCTCAATATCAAATCAACCTGGATTTATGATGGAGCCTAAATCCAATGACTTGGTTCTTCTAAGAAGAGGAGAGAACACAATGAGATGAGGTGATATGAAGATGGAGCAGAGACGGACTGAAGTGACCACAGCCTAAGCTTCCAGAAGGCACCAATTTGCCTACACCTTGATTTCTATCCTGAACTGTGACAGAAGAAACTTCTGTTGTTTGAAACCATCCAGTTTGTGAGTTTGCTATGCTAGGAAACTATTACATGTGTTGTCTTGATTTGATAATATTCGAAACTGCTCTTTTTTTTTTTTTTTTTTGTACCGGGGATCAAACTCAGGAACTTGTGCTTAAGAGGCAGGCAGCGGAACCACTGAGCTAAATCCCCAACTCTATGAAACTGCTCTTTTGAGATCATAAATGTGTAGTGGACATTTGCACTTGTGTTTTAGTCCTGTAGTCTTAGTTTTGTGCTTAAAAATTGTTTTTCAGGTTTGTTTTGGAGAAGCCCCTATCAACCTGTCACTTTCTCCAGCCCCAGTTCCTGGATTTCCAATGATACTGACTCCATTTTAAGCCCTAGAAATGTATAATGTAGGCCAAAGCTAACTGGCATCTTTCTTTCTACTGACTTCAGGAATAAATCTCTAGTTAATGAGACAAATCATATTTTTAGTTTTTGGAAAGATACAGTTTTTCATTCCAACTAAATTTGAGCTTAATGAACTTAATAGGATCTAAGAGGCTAAGATGCTGCCACGGTCCTGTGTGCATTTTAGACTGCAGTGACTACTGGGAGGAAAGGCTGAGAGACAAAGAGAAATGGTGAGGTCAGCTGACACCAAAGAACCCTGGCGAGGTCACTTGATCCCCAAATCTCACTGCTCCTAAAGCTGACCTCCTGCCTGCCGGTCACTTCCAATGAGTCAACAAAATGCCTTCTACTATTTTGAGTTGGGTCTCCTAAAACATTCAAACAAAGGATTCCTAAGAAAAGTGTCCTCATTTTGCTTTAGCACCTTAATTTTTTTTGATCACTAAGGAAAATTAAGTATATACGCTGCTTACATCAAAATTGGCAACATGTTTAAACTAAAATACAGCTGCCTACCTTGTACCTCAGCGTCCCCCGCAACACGGTGTGAGCAGATGGAATGCCGTAAATCTCGGCATACCTGGTGCTGTCTCTGTTGGGGTAGCCTTCCAGGTTCAGTCCCGGGAAGTAATCCATGGATGTGACGGCATCCAGAAAGGAGACTCCTCCTGCAACATTCACAACCTGGGGAAGGTTGGGAAGGCACATGAGGTTATAGACTTTGTTTCCCAGGAGCTTATCTATACCAGTGACACAAAAGAAACCAATAGAGGTTTTTAAAAATTTAACAAGACCACCATAAGCACCATCTCATAGTCAAGGTGTTTCACTGTTCAAATTTATAAGACTTTCTCCCAAGTTCTCAAATCTTAAAAAGTATTCCTTTTTTTTTCAACATAAGGTCTCATTTTCTACTCTTACCCTGGATAAAATGGCACTGAATTATGGCCCACTAGTTTGCTTAAAAAAAAA